TGTTGTTGTTGCAATTTTTAGACACAGATTTTTAAAGAGGAAATTCCAGAGTTTAATCAGCTTGTTTACACCTGAGGAAACTGAGACCCAAGAATGTTCATTGATGACCCTGTGGTCACAATATAAAAGAATATCAGGCCACAGTCAGAACCTGGTTATTGATTTCCATTGGAGTGCTATGTTTCTCATATCATTCTACTTTCTTATCTGTGTGGAGCTTCATAATGGTTTTTGGTATTGATTTAGTAATCATATTTTTCCTCAGGTACATGTTGATTAGAATATATAGTATGTAGAAAAATGTATGTAAATAGCTCTTAATTTTTTATTACATGATCTTAACATCTGGAATCCACACTTCCCAAGTAGACTAAATTGTTAGGCCTTCTGGCTAATATTATTCTTGTCTAAAATGGATTTTAAAAAAATTTTTTTGGAGTAAATAACATATGTAATAAGTTAGTTTTAACCCTCAAAGAATCTGTGAGAATATAAAAATAATTGAAAATTGAAGCATTTGTTCTTAACCATGATTGAAAGGCTTTAATCAGCATATTTAAAATTGTGGCCTCAGAAAAATGTAATATTTATGAGATCACAGATAACAGGATCTGTGTTAATGATGCCAGTACTGCCTAAATAAAAATTTTAATTTTACATAAAATGAGACAATGTAGAGAAACAAATTCTGTGTTAAAATAAATGGTATAATTAAAGTATTACTCTTTATTTATCTCCCAAATTAGCATTAGATCTGTATTCAAAATATTTCCTGATTAAAATTTTCCCTTGTTAAATATCTAAATTGTTAAGAAACAAGTGACCTTGCATTTGATTCTAGGTGTTTAAAAAAATAAAAGGAGTGAATTCCACTGATACATTCCTAAAGTTTTGTCCTAATATTTTCTTAATATTGATTTTTAAAGAGTAAAGTATATGAAATTATGGACAAATGGATCAAAAGGAAGTGATTCAAAAGGATATTGAACCAAAAAAGAAAGAATTATTTTGAAAATATTAAAGGAAAATCATTCATATCTAACATGTAATTTTAAACTTATGATTGAAGTATTTCCTTCTAATAGTCTCATTTTGTTTATGAAGTTACTTATAAGTAGAATTTTTATAAATTAAATTATGTCTTTATGTGCAACACATTTTTCCTGATTTTTGGAATTCATTGGCAATTTCCTTTGTAGTGAGTAATTACGCTACTTTGTAAATTAGGAATTCTTCATTAGGATATTAAACTATCTTAAAATAGAGTACATCAGTATGATGAAACTAGTTAATAAATTTATAGACAACTGTTTCCTAAATAGCATTAATACACAAATGATATAGATTTATTTTTGACCTCGTGCTAAGAATTAAGTGTGATAAGTGATAGATTAAAGAGTATCAGTTTTTAGTGAGTATTTTCTAGGATCTTGCATATTCCTTGTTATGTGTTACAATATTTTAAAATAATTCAAAGGGTGCTTTGTGGCTTATTCTTAGATAGCTCTTTAACGCAATGTGACATACAGATGAGAAAACTTGTTCTGAAGACTCCTTCCTTCAGCTTAACAAAAGCCACCCATTTCACAGATGATTTAACTTTGATTAACCTACTCCATTGTAACAGATTATTCCAACAACTGGAATTTCATTCTTTCATGTTATTTCTAGGTGCAGCTTAATTTACAGACCGCTTTTCTTTCCATCTCACCAAAATACATCACAATTTCGATGTTAACTCAGTAAAAATTCAATGGTTCATTAAACCTAATCTTAACATTCATTGACAAGAGGTTTGTCATTTTAAAAGTAACTGCTACTTTTATGCATTCTTTATTGCTCAGTTTATAATCTTAGATTCCCTGTCAGAGAAAGCATGGAGTTAACTACTTAGCATATTGCAATGAATATTCATCAATAAATTGATGTGACATGGCAGTCCCATTTTTCAGTCTTCCTGCTCTGTTGTAGTGTTTTTCAGTTTTAAATATATTACAGCTTATCATATAATAGGGACTAGCTTAGAGAATCTTTAGAATTGTAATATTATATTTTTGGTCATGTTAATACTTTTTTAGTAGCTAGTTGTATTCATTTTTGATAAGACTATTTGTTTCAGAGGAACAGTCTCTAATGATAGTGATGTTAGGCATTTTTTGGCCAATTATTTGGTATGTGTAATCAGCTTAATAATAAAAATATTTTTAAAGCAAATCATTTTGTAATGTTCTTGGAATTTTTCTTAGTGTTAGCCATTTTATGAAGCTTGATTCTTAAGTATCTGAGTTTTTGAATCAGTTTTTAATTCATATAGAAAGAGGTAGTACATTCATTCTAAAATAAAATCCTGAAAACAAGTATTTAAATAGACTGTAGTCATCATTCAGCTACAACTAAACTATGGGCAAATAAGCACGACAAATGCCATGAAGTGGGCAGAGTTAGATCACTGTCTACCATACTTCATCTACATTTTAAATTTTAAAAGGAAAAGAGTGTCTGTAAGCATGATCTTTTTTGTTAAATGTGTAGATTATGAGGTCACTTAGCACTAAAGTACTGACCATATGCATTATGACAGGAATTTGACACCTGTCATTGGAAATGGTACTTAGAAGCCGTATAATGCAACAAAGTTGAGAGAGGAAGATATGATGTGGATAGGAGGCTGTAATTTATAATTCACAACGCTTCAGGATGACCTGTCCAGGGTGACTCAGATCCCTGTCTTTGATTTTAGGATTTACATACAGTGAACTTACTAGTCAACAAAATTGATAACTGATAGTATTAGATGAAAATGGAAAACTAGGTATTTTCAGACTTTATTTTTAATTGAAGTAAATATCTTGTTACTCTAAAAGTCAGCTTAAGTGTAATTAAATTATTTTCATTACGTTATACTGGCAGGTGACTTGATGGTAGAATTTCATCATGATGTTTGAGTAGTACAGTATAGAATTGTTACCACATACACTGTTCTCAGATTAATAATCCATTGTATATGAGAATTCATCTAAAAGGGAGTACTGTCTTTCTGTTTCTCTGTGTGATTATTTTGCCCCCAAAAAAGCTTTCATTTTTTTAAGTAGCACAAAAGCTGTAATTGGCATGCTTTGTAAGGAAGTGTCAATGTGCAAGAGAGTGGCGATCACTAAGAATTCTTTTGCGTGTTCTTTCCCCTTTGCACCACCGCTGCCTCAGCGGGGTCACTGAGATCACTAGCTTTTCTTGAAATGGCCATTTTCACTGGCAGGTGCATTATACCCTGTATTTTCAGATTGTTTTTCCATTCTGAATGTTTGGCAGGTTGATTGCTCTGGCTGCATTGACGGAGAAAGGGCTGACAAATGTGGTTGGGCTGGCTGAAAAGACAGTGATTACTGTTTTCCTTTGTGGCTGATTGAGGCCCTTGAAAGGAAAAATTTTAACCTTCACCATTTGGTTCAAAAGTATGAGCATATATTGAAATCATTCGTGCCATTTATCCTAGTTCTGTAAACTTGTCAGAACGTAAAAATCGCTCAATTTCAAGTAATGTAGGATTGGCATACGTCATTATCATTTTGATTAAGTTGGAGGTTGTATCATTGTGTGCATTATACAGTGTCATTTAAAGCTTTCTTTCCTAAAGGTACAGTTATATTTTTATTGCTTATACTATAGAGTTAGAAAGATTTTCATAGCTTTCCAAACCTAACACTATGTGTGTGGTTTGGCAGCTGGTGTGGCCTACAAGCTGCATTTTGTTTGCAGGGTAAAGGCTTATCTGTAGGCCTCCTGGAGTGTGGGTAATTGCACAGGCTCGCCATTGGGGAGAGACAGGATTGGAAGCAGTCAAGCGGAAGAATGTTATGCCATCCCATTGCCACCTTGTAGCAGAAAGAACACAATCCCAGCAGTGCCATCTGGTTGTTGCTATCTAGTCAGCTGGCCTGGCTGCTGGGACCATGACTTGGCAGCTGGTTCCCATACTTGACCATTCTTTTGTGTATGTTGTATGTTAGTGTGTTTTAGATAATTTTGAACATGGGTCGGGGAAATGACTATAACAAGTAAAGTCCCCTTATTGAATAGGCTCTCATTACTTGAGATGCACTCTGCTACAGATGCCTGCTGCCATTCCCTCATAGACAAATGACGCATCTGTTTAGGCAATAAAAATAAGCATTTTCTTCATAAAAATCCATCTCCGTATGTAGTGAAAGAGAAGGTAGGCAGAGTTGTATGTTCTATAACATTTTAAAATAAGTAATTTAAAGTTATTTCCTGGTTTGGTTGTATAAGAGAAGAGTTAGTCATTTTTAAAAGTCTTATAAACATTGTCTATTGTCTCAATGTGTATTTTTATTCAAGTTAAGAAAACATTATTTTAAGTGCTTATTGCCACATCTTATAACAGTAGATAATGAGACTTGCATTTAAAATGACAGAATAGAAAATGTGGTCTCGTAGCTATTATCTTTAAAATCTGCCTCTCAAATAGCAACCTGAGAGTTAATGTAAGCCGTCTTTATGCCATATGAAGATCCATTAGACACTGATGGTTTCAGATCACAAGTAAGCAGCCAGCTCTGTAGGCTATTTTAGACATTTGATTTTCTTCATTTTACAGCATTAATGTGTCAGCATGCTACATAAAACTATGTAAGAGTTGCATGTTGTTCTGTCTGGAATGATAAATGCTTGCAAGCTTTTAGAGATTTCCATGAGGAACTTATCCTAGTTGCTTATATATCTTATTTCAGTTTATGTAGCTACAGAATTTGATATGGCTGTTGCTGACTTACCATGTTAGGTATGTATAAAGAAGTTCCACTTAATTCTTTTTTAAAAATTGTATTGATAAAATTTACATTGTTTCTACTCATTCTATCTTATGAGTGGTTCACTTTTGCTTTTACCTAAAAAGTTGTGATACTTTCTGAAATAATTACCTCAAGAGCTATCAATTATTGTCATAAAAATAATTTTTGTGTTACTCTTTTGTTTTTATTCAGATGAAGAAGAAGAAGATGATGTGGTGACTCCTAAACCACCTATTGAACCTGAGGAAGAGAAAACTTTAAAGAAAGATGAAGAAAGTGATAATAAAGGTATCTTAAAAGAATTTAACTTAAAAAAAAGAATTTAAAAAATTTTATTGATTCCTGTTAAGATTGTTTTTTATTATTTATGCACTAAAATAAAATAAAATGCTCTAAATCAAAGAGGTGAATCTGCTTGAAAAACGAGTGACATTCATTGATTCAAATTATGATAGTGAGGTGACATGATTTGAGTGGCATAAATCAGACTTTAGAAAAACATTTGTTTTACAGCTCCTCCTCATGAGCTGACTGAAGAAGAAAAGCAGCAAATCTTGCACTCTGAGGAATTTTTAAGTTTCTTTGACCATTCCACAAGAATTGTAGAAAGAGCTCTTTCAGAGCAGATTAACATCTTCTTTGACTACAGTGGAAGAGATTTGGAAGACAAAGAGGGGTAAGTATAGTTGCTAAAATTATGGTGTTAACAGTGTTTAATTACTTTAAGAGTGAGAAGTTACAACACAGTTGTTGGTTTTTTGTTTTTTGTTTTTTTCTGTAGAGAGATTCAAGCAGGTGCTAAACTGTCATTAAATCGACAATTTTTTGACGAACGTTGGTCAAAGCATCGGGTTGTTAGTTGTTTGGATTGGTCATCTCAGGTAAATTACAACAACAAAATTGGTTTCTATTTACCCATTTTTGAATTACAATAAGCAGATAGTTGTATTTTAATTATGGAAACTTTGTATAATTAATGTTTATTATAACAATGGATGATGACTCTAATGTTATGGTTGCTCTAATGTTATGGCTGCCTTATGTACTTAGGAAGAAAGGATTAGGAACACTATTTAAAACTCAAGGTTTTATTTATGCCACAGCTTAGTTTTACTTATTTTAATTGCTTACCCATTTTAATTCTGTCCTTTGGATAGAATTGCAACAGCATTTTAATAAAATGTTTTAGCATTAAAACCTTTAAAATAACCTTACTAATTCAAAGTTTTACTAATGTTGCAGAGAGCATAACTCTAGAGATGTATTTCTTGATGAAAGGTTAGGAATTTGCATTTTCAGAATAATTTAATAAAAACAGTTGAGTAACTGGGAATGTAAAAGAGTTATTATGCATAACATTTTTTCCCCACATGATTCTTACGAGCAGTATCCAGAATTACTGGTGGCTTCCTATAACAACAACGAAGATGCTCCTCATGAGCCTGATGGTGTGGCTCTTGTATGGAATATGAAATACAAAAAAACTACTCCAGAGTATGTGTTTCACTGCCAGGTAAGATAGTCTTTTAGCAATCTTCCCCCAGTTTAAGAATTCACTAATGAATTTAGACAGTGCCTTTTTTCTTTTCTTGTCAACATAATGATTTCATTGGATTGGCATTTACTAAACCACCCCATATTTGCAAACAGATGTTAACAAAAAACTGAAGACTTCTCCGTTCAATGTGATCTCTGTTTTCTAGCTTTTCTGATGTCTCTTATGTTTAATCACACCTAAAGTCCTTTGCTGTTGTGATTTCCTGTTATTGTGATTGATTGTATAAAAGGAATCTTTTATAAAATGTCTTTTCTGCAGTGAGTTTCTCAGGAACTTACTTGCTGAATATACAATTAGATGGTTGGCCCACTGAATTACTTATACATGGCCTGAGGAGTTGGAACTAGATAGTTTTAAGTAGAAACATATGTTTGAAGTAGGAAACAGATGCAGATTTTTAAAGTGGATTTAGTGGGAGGTTAGAATTTGCAAGCCTTTGTGGTTGCATAAGTTATAATCTTTTAATAATATATAAATTCTGCAAAACACTTAACTGAATCAAAACTAGCATTATACTCTGTTGTCAGATTTCTGTCAAAGGATAAAGTAGAGCCAGTTATCTTTGGATTTAATGCTGTAATCAAATAGTTTTTGCTTTGTTGGATAAATTGCTTAAATATTTCTGTAAACAGTCATTACATTTGACTTAAGCAAAACTATTCTAGAGCTGTATCTTTATGTTCTTAAACAAAATGACATTTTTAAGTGTATTTACTGATGGTTTTATTCTCTGATAGCTTACAATAAAGGGGAAAATGTTTTTATAGATTTATTCTTATAACTTGTCATAGTTCTTTCATTTGACCCTTAAATATAAAAATCTTACTTATTTGCAGTCAGCCGTTATGTCTGCTACGTTTGCAAAATTTCATCCAAATCTGGTTGTGGGTGGTACATACTCAGGCCAGATTGTGCTGTGGGATAACCGTAGCAATAAAAGAACTCCCGTGCAGAGGACTCCGCTGTCAGCTGCAGCACACACGGTGAGTAAAGAGGCTGTTTCCATTAGGTCTCCTTCATCATTAAATACTTAGTCGCATCTGTCAAAATAGTCTCAAAATGTGTTTCCTTTGATGTGTGAATTCCTCATCATTTAGCAACTAAGAATGAAGCCCTTTTTTTTTTTTTTGGTATTTTTGGAAATCTGTTTTATTAGAAACTTATCTCTCTTCTAAGATAATCTTTTGTTAATCCACAGAATAGGATCAAACTTCACATTAAAAATGCCCTTATGATGTGAGACTGTTTGGATATGAAACAATACCTGTTATGGTACAGTAAAAATTATTTCATCTTTTTGGTGAAAATAATTCCAGAGAACTTCCTTTAATATTTCTTTCTTTAGCATCCTGTATATTGTGTAAATGTTGTTGGAACGCAGAATGCCCACAATCTGATTAGTATCTCTACTGATGGAAAAATTTGTTCGTGGAGTCTGGACATGCTTTCCCATCCACAGGTAGGTTAAACTAGGAAAACTCTGAAGTTTTGAGGCAATATTGATATTTTTTCAAGTCTATAAACGCCAGCTTATATTTTTCATAGATGTTTTATAATAGTATTATAGTAACAGTTTATAAATCTAAGCATGTATTAAATATAATCTGTGATATATATACTTCACTTTCAAACCTTTTAATCAATTAAATTTATGTAAGTAGTATAGTAAAAGAACTAAGACTAGAAAATGTTCTTAAAAAATTTAAAAATTGTAAGTTTACAAAATAATCTCAATTTTTTCTGTGTAGGATAGCATGGAATTAGTTCATAAACAGTCAAAGGCAGTTGCTGTGACATCTATGTCCTTCCCTGTTGGAGATGTCAACAACTTCGTTGTTGGAAGTGAGGAAGGTTCTGTGTACACAGCATGTCGCCATGGCAGGTAAATCTAAACTGAAATTTGCAATTATTTAAAATTCTCCCTTGAATAATCTTATTAAACAATTTGCCTCTTAATTCAAGTAGATATCTCTCCTAGAGCCACTTATATGTGACAAGTTATTTAAGTTCAGGTATACGAAATTAAATACTTTTTAAAAATAAAAGGTCATTTTAGATCATAATGTGTTCTAGTAATTGATTTTGAGGGGTGTGGTGTGTTATGATTTTCATATATGTGGACGTGCTCACAAAAGTTAGTGGTAGGAAGTAACATTCCGCAGTTACAAATACAAAAATTCACATACTACATACTGACCTTTAAAGTTGTAAATAAGATTTTCAAGTTTTTCCATTTCGATTTATTTGGACATTGAGCATTCTTGGCTCAAAGTTCACTTCTCCTGATAATTGTACAGTAATGTCACGTACACATTTTAAATTGACTAGTATTTCTCCTGCTGTTCAATCTGTTTTGAAATTGTCTAGCTGTACTTTATCAATTGCTTCCTGTAAAAAAAAAATTGAGTGTCCAGATTTCATCACAAATACAGATCACCTTCACTTGAAAGCGTTTGTTTTAAAAGTAACCTAGGTTCTCTCTCTTACATGTAGCATCCCTTTGTCTCTATTCCACCACCTCAGAACCTTAGATATTGGACTTTTGAGTTCTGTCGTCAATAGCATGATGTTTATGGTTCCAAAATGTACTTAATACTGCTTTAGTGGTGTTATCAAATATGGACAGAGTAACACTCAACGTAATTATTGTGATGTATTATGAGCACGAGTTAAGTTTGTTGAAATTGTGTCAAATTATAATAATAGATAAACCTGTGATAACATGTATTTGTAAGTGGTCTATTTACAAGAGATTTCCCTATTTTCACTCTTACGAAATAGCAAAGCTGGAATCAGTGAGATGTTCGAGGGACATCAAGGACCAATTACTGGCATTCATTGTCATTCAGCTGTTGGAGCAGTGGACTTCTCACATCTTTTTGTCACTTCATCATTTGACTGGACAGTAAAACTTTGGACAACTAAGGTATCTAAAAACAGATGTCTGATCAGGTGCTCAGGTTTCTGACACAAGGTGGTGCTCTAATACCACATGGAAAAGATGAAAAGCCTAATAGCTTGGAAGGATTTACTGATAAATCAAACCTAGTAAGTTACACAGAATATGAGTGAAAACTAGATACTGAAGTTTTTTAAAAATATGCTCACAGGTATGGTAACTCCACTCATAACCAAGACCAGTTGTCCCACCACTTCTGGCATTTCAAGCATAGAGCCTCTTATACTGAACTGAGCTGGGGGAAAAGCCTCTGAAGATCTCACATGACTCTCGTATAGCTCCTCTATAGCCTGGCACAAAAGCTGTGCCTTTGCTCTTTGAAGAGCTTTTAGAAGATGTTCAGAATCGCAGTGACTCAAGAGCTGATGGAAGCTGGAGAGAAGATAGATAAGAACTGTTGTACAATAAGACTGTGCCATAAACCTGAGTCACTAGGAAAGTACTGTGTAAATGCTTACAAATTATTATAAATAAATTTATTTATATTATTCCATATTAAAATCATTTTATATTAAATAAGTAAATTTATTATAAATACTTATACATAAGTAAATACTTATACTTATGGATGCATATATATTTTTGTTGACCACAGTACATAATACAAGTTGTTTGTGTTTAAATAAGCCTTGAAAAACCTTTTATGTTATGAAGTGCTTTCTGATCCTCCAACAATTCCAGAAATATGTGACTTTGCCCTGAATTATTGAAAGTCTCAAGGCAAATCCAAAGTGCCTTTACTTTGCTGTCTAACTTTTCCGCAGTATTACATTGTTGCTGACAAAGTTGCATTCTTAGAATAGCAGATTCTATTTAAATTAAGTTAAATTTTAAGCTGTGTTTTTTCATGTTTTCATCTGCCTTATCCTAACTTTGATTCTTCAGTTTCTTTGAGAAAACCTGGTGCTCTGAAGATGTTTTCTTTACTATTACAGTGGAATCATTTATTTATCAAATGTTGACCTTTGAAATCAGGCATGAACTCACTATTCACTCTTGTCCTTTCCTGATGCTTTCTTTCAGTGTAGTAGGAAGTGAGTTAGAAAACTGTCTCTTAAAATTGAACGTTTTCATGTTTGAGGTTGGCTTTCCTGGTAAAGAATCTGCCTGCAATGTAGGAGACCCTGGTTTGATTCCTGGGTTGGAAAGTTCCTCTGGAGAAGGGATAGGCTACCCACCTCCAGTTTTCTTGGACTTCCCTCATAGCTCAGATGGTAAAGAATCTGCCTACAATGCGGGAGACCTGTGTTCTATCCCTGGTTTGGGAAGATCCCCTGGAGGAAGGCATGGCAACCCACCCCTGAAGAATCCCTCTGGACAGAGGAGCCTGACAGGCGGCTACAGTCCATGGGGTCGCAAGGAGTCGGACATGACTGAATGACTAAGCACGTTTGGGATTAATTAGCAGGCATTAAAAACAGCATTTAAGTCTAATGAAGGAAAATTTATTAAAAACTGTTTAACACAGTGTCTATCTAGCATTATAGAGACTTCACAGTGTTCATTCAGTTCCCCCTTTTCTCCTCCATGGAGATCAGGCAGAGTGTTAATGCATTTAGTTTGTCATCTGTTTTCTTTCCCGGATTGCTCTTGAATTTTTGTTTTTGAATGAGATTTATACAGTGGAGAAAGGTAGAGGTAGAAGATTCTCACGTCTGTAAGCAAAGAAACGCATAATCCAGCCAGCAAAAACAAAGCAAGATGCAGAATTGGAGAGATGAAGCCAGTTGTTTCTCTATGCTGTAGGTGGCCACCTAAGTGGCTGGATTTCTGGATATCTGGATACCTTACATTACATCTTAGATTGTTGGCCAGTACCCTTTTTCAGTATTTGAAAAGAATCTTTTTATCTATTTGTAGATATGTTATTTTCAATATCTCAGGGCTTCAGTTTGCCATCCTTTTATCTTTAAATTTGAGGCTTCCATTCTTAAATATACCACCAAATATGACTAGAAAATGAAGACTTCATCTTGCTTAAATAAGAACACTACTTACATCTGTGACAGTGGACTGACTGGTGCTTATTTTGTGGTACTACACAGCTGGTTGATTGGTGGTTCATATTTTTTGTTTTTGTATTTTCCTGTATTTCAATGTAAAACTGCCTACTGAATAAGAATGACAGCCAGCCATATCTCTTTCTTTGCTAAGTGAGCTAGGCATTGTTTCTTTCTTAAGCTTCATATAGAAGACTCATTTATTCATTCAGCTGTAATACATGGCTCTCCCTTCCCCCCACCACCCTATTCTTTGGTCACTCTAATGTTAGTAACCAAAGAATAGGACAACACAGAACAGGGTGATTTTATAGAAGATGACGTACCCTCAAAACTATATCAGAAGAACTATTTTATTCTGACTTTTCATCATGGAAATAGTTCTAGTCTATGAAGGAAGAAAGAGCAACAGTCTGCTAAGTGTTTTTTTATTTGGCCATATTATGACTCCCAAAGTCATTATTGCTTTGATCTTGGGTTTATACTTCATGGTTAATTGTGCTTCTGGTCTTCATTTCTTCCCTAAAAAACTTGGTAGAGCCTCTCTGCTCTCCAATACAATGATAATGAATAATAGGCAAAATTTTAAGTTAATCTCTTCGTAAAAACATTGTTCCAGCTTAAAAAGCTTCAAGCTTTTTAAACCAGTATCTTCAAATTCATAAATTTAACAGACTTTAAATGTGTTTCTCTTTGCCTCTACTTGTTAAGTGTTTTCTGACTCTAGGAATTGAGTCCCCATAAACTGGAAGAATGAATCATTAGATATTGGTGTATCTTTGTATCCTTTAAGATGTGTCTGTGCCCCGATAGCGAAACAAGATTCTTTTTTCTCCCTTTCTGTAAGTCCTCTGTCTACCACTTGAAGTCTCAATTTGGTACTGCCTCAAATTTAGTTTCAAGTAGTCTATCTTCTGTCATCTTCTAGTTTTTGCAGAGTCAAGGATTTTAATGCAGTAACAGGGTTCTGGATCATCAAATTGTTTTTTTTTTTACTTTTTTGAACTCAGTTATTTTTAATGAAGAAGACAAAGATAGATAGTTTTCCACATTTTGATGAAGTTTAATTTAAACCAACCAAGATATTGCTTCTAATATAGTTAACTTTTTAAAATACCAAATTTGAAAATTCACAACAGAAGTACTTTGGCAGTCCTGAAAAATGGTAGGAGGAATAGAATAGTTATCTTGACGATAACTTGAGGATTCCATGAACACTTGATTAGGGGTAGACATGATAAGTGAGCTTAATATTCCATTTAACTGTACTTACTACAGATTACTCTTAAAATATAAGAATTATTTATTTGGAGGACAAAATGTATTAATATATGCACAGTATATTCTAATCTCAGAACTGATGCCTCTCAGTAGCATATTTACCATAAAGTGACAAAGTTAAAATCATTAATGTATTTCTCAGAATAGGTAGTTCTTGAACCTTTGTAATCCATACACACCTTAAAATTTTTTCAGTTTCTGATGTCTTAAGTTCCCTCCTTACTTGAAAAGCTTTAACCTGTTTAACTCTTCTATTTAACCCTGCATTAAAACAGGGTTAAAGAGAATATATAGAATTATAATTAACTATAAATATAATTAATTATAATCATATATTAAATATTTAAATTTTAAATTTTATTTAATATCAAGTTTATAATTTATTTAATAAATATTATAATTAGTTATAAATATATAGAATTATGATTAACTAATGCTTCTAATAGCAACTATGCACCTACTAGACAAATTAAAATGAAGAAATGCTATGAAGTTGGGATGTTTCTTGGAAAATGCTGACTGACCATCAGGACCCAGACCTCCAGGACAACATTTACTGTAATAACTTGTTGTTGGCCAGTGTCCAGCCTGTCCTTTGCATATTCAGAAACTCAGTTTTATCAGTCTACTGGAGTTGATTAGCTAGGGAGTGCTAATTAGAACTCACAGGTGTCTAAGACACTGATACATTGGAGAAGGTCAATTTATTAATTTACAATGAGAAACAACTGCCAGAAGGCCCAGGTACTCATACTTGCCTGACCAGTTCATTGTTTCCCTGTATTGGACAACCCACATGGGAAGCCAAATTATAATCAGAAGGTTGCTTGGTGAGCAAGGAATTGGAGCAAAAGACGTTTTCTAATATGAATGTTTAATGACATCAAGCAAGGATAGCCTGATTCATTCATCTTCTATAACCCTGCCATAGGTGGTAATTCTCAAGAGTCTGTTGACAGAGACACTGTCTCCAGAACAGTGCTTGAATTAGGCATTTCTTCAGTTTTCTTATAAGATTGTTTCTTTATATTTCCATTTCTTTTAATGGATACATACATTCCTTTTCAAAAAGTTACTATCTTCTTTCAGGTTGTATAGAAAGGTGTTTCTGCCCTTGGAATTGTTTCTTTTTAATGAGAATCTGTTTATTTCTATCTTGATTCAAGTGAGGAGTACTTATTTCCCAGTTCTCTGGAGAGTACCTCACTGTTATGTTCATGGATTTACTATAGGGACTCTTTGGTTATTAATCTAGAGCTCCCCAGGTTCCCCCAGAAAAATATAGAATTACTGTATTCATTTCCTGGGGCTGCCATATTAGATTGTCACAAACCGAGTAACTTAAAACAATAGAAATTTATTCTCTTACAAGAGGCTAGAAGTCTGAAACCAAGGTGTTGGCAAGGTTGGTTACTTTTGGAGGCTCTAAGGAAGAATCCATCCCTCTTTTCCCTGTCTCTTTTCTAGTTTTCAGGGTTGCCAACAATCTTGTGCTTTTTGGCTTCCAGGTGCATCACTTCAGTTTCTGCCTCTGTCGTCACATGGCACTCTCCCTACATGTCTGTCCAGATTTTTCTCTTTTAAGACAATAGTCATGCTAGATTCAGGGCCTACTCTAAGCAATATAACCCCAGTTTAATTAAGTCTGCAAAAGACCCTTTTTCCAATAACGTCACATTTACAAGT